AAGTGAAAGCCTGGACATTGGCCTGGGAAGTAGAGAATAAGGGTTGCAGCCAGCATTAACCACTGTAAAAACTACTTCAGTAAGTGTTTTTCCACTTATATTATTATGCTTGTGTTCCATAACAGTGTCTTTATAGGAATACAAAGCTACAAAAGTACAGTGGTCCAGTGAAAGCAAACTGTTGGGGCACAGATAACACTGGAGTAGTTTGTTCACTTGAGCAGTACCTGGAGCTTTCCTTTTAGGAAAGGGGGCTGAGGGGAAGTACATCTGTTGTGAATCAGCTTGTAATACCAGAAGCCCTATTTCCACAATTGTGACTATTTAGAAAGACACACTCAGAAACAAACCAGCATGTCATATCTAGATTTCTCTAAATGACTTTGTTGAAATTATTCAGAAATTTTCTAATAATGGTTTTTGGCTGTCTGTCAAAACTTGAGTCCAATAGACTTTTGTAGGGTTTTTCCACTTATTCCTTTTTGGCAGTGAAAGCTAATGCTCAGCAGCCTAAGCTTGCAGTTCTCTGCTCTGGTACCATGTGCTGCTTGAACGCACCCTGAGGTCCAGACCCACTCCACACCAAATACCTGTGTTAGGAGCCAGAAGTACCTCTCATCCATGAAAATATGTGTTCTGTGAAGCTTTCTCCTACTGTTTAGTGTAAAAATTTTGGGCATTTGTGGTGGTGCATCTCCAGGCCACACTACAATCTCCCTGTGTAATCTCCTAATTAATTTTGTATTGATTTACAGAGACAAATTGATCATATAAAAGCCTTTTGCAGAGTTATCAACAGAGGTTGCAGGAATGACTCTGAATTACACCTGTCACAGGAGCTGTGATCTTATCCCTTGCTCACACATGAACTAAGGCAGAGTTGGACAGAGTAAGAACTTCATCAGCAATGTCATATGTGCAGTACTGTGTAAATTAAAATTTAAAAGTCAGCTTCACTTTTCATAAATGGGCTATCCAATGTATGGATACGTACCTAAATCTGCTGCTGCATGACTCACATGGAAGCAGTAGCGTGTGATTTCAAGTGTCAGTTATTCTGCAACATTTTTCTCTTTCTAAAAGTCTGTCCTCTTCACATTCTTTATTGCTGTTTTGCTCTGCCCTATATTTAGCCAATTGTTACATTTCCTAATTTTGATCTGGATAGAAATGTATATACACAGTTAATCCATAATTACTTGTACCTCCAAAATTACTCTTTTAGACTAGAGAAGAAAAATGCAAACACCTTCCACCCACATTCCCCTGGAGACTAAGTTGGCCAAGTTCAATGAGCAAGAGACACTAGTTTAATGAAGGAGTATGGAAGCATGTGCTCTACATTTCAGAGGTTCAGTATTTGGCTGGTAACTGCTGCTGCACAGGTCGGCCTTTTGAGTGTCAGGTAGGACAGTTTTGGCTGGGATGGAGCTCTGGCTTCACACTCTGGTCATGTATGGATGCTGAACACATGCAGAAGAAATTAAGGACAGGGAGCTGATAAGATCCCACTTAACAAGCAGTGACTGAATAGGTTTACTGAAGGCATCCAGCTTGGATTTATAAATTATTACAGTCATTCTCTTTCAGCATTAAATCTTGACAAGGTCTTTTTCACCAGGGCTGCCAATCTCTCTGGTGCAAGACTGACAAAGGCTGAAATTGTGACCTTCAAATACAGAGACAAATAGCTGATCATCCTGCCAAAGGGCACTCGCAGGTAGCTCAGCACTAATTTTAGGCTGATTGAATATCTACCCCTTTACTTCTAACAGTAAGAAACCTGTGCCATGTAAAACACAATATCTCAGGGATGAATAACACAATATGTCAGGGATGAGAAACAATACACTTCGGTAATTTTGGAAAATTTCTGTATTTCTAACTATAAGAAGTGTAACCATACAGTCCATATTAACAAATGCCTGGGAGATCAAGAATCAAAAGGGGATTGCTTCTGATTCCCTTGCAAAAGCTATCCAAGGAGGAAGGAAAAGATGATCCAGCTCATTCTTTCTTTGTGCAAAAATGGTGAATAAAGGACTTTTCCTGTATTTGTCAAGTTCAGTAAAATTATATCAAGCATCATTTTCAAAGAATCAGACAGTTTTAAACTACAACTCCCAGGAGCAATGATCAGGATAATCAGGTACTTCGAACCATATTCTTTAAATAAGTAATTTTATTTCTGTCTCAAAAAAAAAAAAGTTTGTTTTATTTGTTAATTACACTTCTCTACACAAAGTAACCCTTGTGTCTTCCTATTAGGTTCATACCTGTCTTCAAGCACCAGTGAACCCTGCCATTCACTGGGAACAAAAGCACCTACAGTTCCCGCTTTCGTTGGCAGTTTCTTTTTACACTGGCTATAAGCCAGAGTCAAACTGTTTGAGGGGGGAAGTAGCAGACACACATAAGCCACTATTTATTTCCAATCCTCATAACAAGACACCTGATACAAGCAAGATGAAGAGAAATGCAAGGATTCAGTGTATAAGCATGGGAACTCACAAGGATGAAAGTTGGAAGGATGGCAGAAAAGGAAGGGGGAGGGTGGAAACACACTAATTTGGTTTTCAGCTCAAAGGTTCCTCTCATTTTTTCCCAGGTGAATGCACTGTTGCTGTGACACAGAGACCTGGACAGCTCAGGTGTGCTTAAGTCACAGTGTGCTTAAATCACACTGATTTTTAACTAACCAGTTCCAGGAAGAGGACCTTCAATCAGGAGAATTGATCGCTGCTGGTGAGCAAATATTTCTCATTCTTAAGTCTCCTTTAGTACAGCAATGAGGTTTGGTTCACAAATACTTTACAAAGTTAGTTATACAAAAAGACAGTTGATAGATGCATAGAGATTAGCTAGCAAATGTTTGTTCTGGCAGAGAGTTGAAGGTAATCTATATGGTGTTATCTGTCATTGTTTTCTCTAAGTCAATTAATTAATGTTGTATCATGTAGTATCAAAAATTCAGATTATTAAATTTAAACTATCTCCAGCTGCAGCTTGATAAATTATCCTTCCAAAACCCTACTGATTTTCAATAGAATGATAATCAAATATTAAGCTTCAGATAAATATACTTGTGATTTGAAGAGATCTACACTTTGATTTTTTCTGAATACATAATGAAAGAAAGAACTGATTTGCACATTCCATGTCTGCTTTAGAAAGACATTATCTGGTGTGATTTCAAGCCATATCTATTCATGTTTAAATATAATTTTAACATGTTAATAGAAATGATAATTTGGTCAACAGCTAATTAGTAAACTGATACTAAAGATAGTTGCTGATTTTCACATAGAGTTGCTACAAATACTCATTTTTCAAGACTATAGTAGTATGGTGTAATGACCGGCTTTAGCTGACTGAAGTTAGTGGTTTGCACAAACATGGGGAAAACTTGAATGGAATTTTTGTTGAGGATTTATTCAAAAATTCTCATCCCCCAGACTTAACCAAAAATTACAGTCTCCCCTTAGGAAACACTGGAAAACTTCTCATTTTCTCATTAAACATCAATAATCTCCAATCATCATGTTACTGAGCATAATAAGTAAGCTCCAAAGGAGACTCCTTTCTAAAACTCAATCAAGAGTAGCCAACATGAATGAGCCTAGGGGAGTATGTAAAACAAAGAACAACTCTACAGTTGTGATGCCGTGTGTGGGTAAAGGGAATTGTTTTGGGACAAGACTGAAGAGAAAAATATTATAATGAATATACTGATTATTTTACCAACATAGGGAAATTTTTCAGAAATATAAGATTCTTACTACAAGATGATATTTTTTCCTAAATTTTTGCATATTTTAATATACAAATTTTTCTCCACATGAATAGAATTCTTTTCTCGGATTGAGATTGCCAGTTATTGGAAACAGAGTTTTAACTTGTTCACAAGAAACTTAACTGCTAACAATGATTCTGCAATGTTAAGAGATTCATTAAAGCATCACTTTTCTTGCTTTTCAGTCCTAAAAAACATGACGCGTTTTCTTTTGCCAGTGCTCAGAGTCATAATTCTGCACTGAGTATCATTCCTCCAAAAAACGGAGTCTCTAGTGAAAACTGATAAAACTGGGTAGTATTCTGGGCTATATGCATTACATTTTTTAACTCAGTTGAAACCATCAGGTATCCACCTGAATATCAGAGTTTTCATGCCTAAATATGATTGCACTGGACTGAAAGACCTATTAATTAAAAAAAAAAAATTGGATTTTTAATGCCTTTCTTCAACTCTTCCTTCTGTTCTCTGACTTTTATCAAGGACAGATGTTACTGAATTTCTTATAATGATCTTTGTCAGGAAGAGAATACTAAAGCAGCCAGGAGCACAGATGAATTGTTTTATTCAGAAGGACTTCAGCTGAAAGTCAGTGTAAGAAAAGCTGTGAAGAATAGGGAAATTTTTCATTGTGAGAAACTGATGAAAATTTCTTTGACATTTATCTCACAGTCCCTAACATCCTAGTTCACAGAGTGCAGACTTTAAAAATTATGGCAATTTCAACATTTTGGATGGATTTGCCAATTTAAAATGTATTATACTTGGAGGCAAATATTTGCCAATTTTCCTATTTGATTAATGAGGATATCATGAGACATCTTTTGCCAAAAAAACCCTAATATAAAACAAAAAAAAAATCCCATGCTCTTATGTTCCACTGAAATTAAGAAACCTATAGCACTGTCTTGGAATTGTCATGATCCAGCATTACAATATTTGCTAGTTCATAAGAATCAAATGAGAACAGTCTCCTGCAACCTAATTTTGACAACTGATAGCAGTGTTTCACCGTAAAATTAAGTATTTCCATTTTGCATTTTTCTCACAAAAGCAGGCATTTCTAGAACTAACCAAAGCTGTCTCTGAAGTATAGATTGTTAGAATGCCACTAACACATTGATTTACACTGTGTGAGGTGACAAAAGCATGTGACTAAAGTTGTTGCTTTGTTTTCCAGTTTCCTTGCTGCATTGAAAGGGAAATAATGCTCCATTCAACATTGGCCTTGTCCCTTCTGTTAATTGCAGTTACTTCCAACCTTGCAATGGCAATTAAAAAGGAAAAACGAGCACCTCAGACACTGTCAAGAGGTATTGTATATTTATTGTATGTAGTTACGTCCTTACCTCGCCATATGGGCCAGCAAATATTTTTCTTTTAAATGTACATTCACACTTACCAAGGTGTGTTTCTCTAGTGTTAAGTGACACTCTGAGTAATGCATGTTCGTATTTTATGTCATTTCACTCCACCACTTTACTCTTAAGGATATGACTGAGAGCCTCATATAAACTGCATAATTTATGTAACTCACATTGACCCAGCAGAAGCAAATAACCCAAAGTGAGTCTCTCAAATCAGGATGTATTTTGTAGGACTATCAGTGAAAAAATATTCTTTCATGTGCCATTTGAAAGATATTTTATTATGGCAACTTACCAACTGCTGAAACAGTTTCATAACTTCAGTTGCTATGGGACAATTTTTCTACAGACCTATTTTTGTACACAAAACCATTTGAACCATTGGTGTGGTTTTCTGCGTGACTTTTTTTTTCCTTTTAATTTTTATCAGATATCCACTGCAAAGCGTGACTGTGAGTAATTCACTTCCTCCTGGCGCATAATTTTCAACCTGATTGTTAAAATAAAGACCCTGTTTTAAGTAATTTAAGTCTGACCAATCCTTAGAAATACAAGCAGAAAAAAAGCTCAGCAAGCTCTTTTCCCCTTCTCCATATTCCATCTCCTTTTGGAACTATTAAGCACAAAATATCTCCATCTCCCTCCCTGACCTCTTCTACAAACTGTGCAAAGCTTGCAGATCCCACAGCTCACCTCTGAGGTTTCCCTATTCTAGCAAAGTTGCACATGTCACAGAGGTTCCATCTGAGCCTAATTGCTCCAAGACCACTTAACAAAATCATGCAACACCTGGACTATCCAAAGAGAAATTTCAAATCACTTTTTGTAAGCAGTATCCTGGGGGAAAGTTTATAATCAACCTGGTATGTAGATTAGGATTTATTGTTCCCACTAAGCCTGAATGCACAGGAAGATAGAAAAAACTCTTACATTCTGGTGGTTTTGAAAAAAAAAAAGCAGTGACAGAAAGCAGGTGTTGCTTTTCTAATTCTGATTTCAGGCCCTTCGGGATGCCTTGCACACTTTACAAGTAATTTTCACAGATCAAAGGGGAATACTTAAACCTGCTCGAAAATGACTCCTACTCCTCTATGTAGATGCCTTCAGCAGCATCTGACTGCGGCCAGGGTTGGGAAGGCACTGGTCAGCATGCCAGAATCCCATCATCAGCCAGAAAGATCTGTCTACTGAAGGAAGAGGTGATCCAGTAGAATCACAAGCAATTGTCCTGTGAGAAATCTAACAGCAAATCTGGGCTGGTTCAAGCACTGTCCAGACCACACAGAAGAAACAGAGCTCTAACCTGATCCAGATCCAGAAATTGTCTACAATTCCCATGAGGGCTGTCATGAATGGAGCCACACTGCCTAGGATGCAGGGATTTACTACAGAGGGGTTGAGACCTTTGGGAGCTGAAGGCGTAAAACCAACTAGACAATTTGCTTTTTGAGATCTCTGCTACAGATGAGCTATGAAGCTGATGATCTATTGGGATTTTGTTTTGGTGGAGACTTTTATTTAACAGTCATTCTTTTATGAAATTATTTAATTAAATTACATACTTGCAACTCCAGGGATTGAAGTTCATTACTTTGGAGTGAAATTTATAACCCAAGACTGTTCTAATGACATTCATATTAAAGCTGATCTTATTCGAGCTGTCATATTTTATTTTTCTCTTTTATATGCCAGCTTCTCTTTAAGTCCCAGGGTCAACATGAAATATGGAGCAGATAACAAAAAGATATAAAGGATTTGGGTGCTCATTTAGGGACTTCTGAGCATTTAGAAAGATAGCCAGCTAGTCTGTCAAAGAACCTGAGCTGGATACACAACCAGCTGAGATTTTTTGGGGGGTTGGTTGTTTGGTTGGGGTTTTTTAATCTTTCAGTGTACCTATCAGGAGATGTAGAATTAGTATATCCATAATGTTAGAGAACCTTTGACTAAAAAACCCAAATCTTATTTGTGTACAAGTGTTGATAAATATTAAAAAAATAAAGGAATTTGTTATTAGTTACTTTCCTGGCCACCAGCTAATCTACTTGTTATACTTCTAGGGTGGGGAGATGAAATTACCTGGGTACAAACTTATGAAGAAGGGCTTTATCAAGCAAAAAAAAGGTAAGAGATTAAAAAGTAGTATGAAGACAAAGTTGTTACTCTGACGTGCTGGAATACACTATAGTAAAACAGAACAAAGAAACACCGTGGCAGCTGATCTGCAGACCACCCAGTTAAATAAAACAGACTGTGTCTATAAATAAAAGCCCTTGTAGGGATGACTCTGAAGTAACATTATGGGCTGACAATGTAATGCTGTTATTTCTTTGTCACAAGAGCAGTGTTGTCATTTGAATTAACAATGATAAATAGATACCATAATTCTTGCAATTACATCTGTTGTGTTTTAATATCATGTACCTTTGATTACTTCCTTGAAATCAGTTGCGTTTGTTCTTGCGTGGAGATATGCTGCCTCTGATGTTTTCCCCAACACTTTATTAGTTGGAATATGTCCATGATATACTCACAGTTTCTCACTGTCTTGGTAGAAATGGAAGTTCCAATCTGAATTTTCTCTGGAACTCTGCTGAAAATATATTTGAGAATTCATAACGACACCTATTCAAATATATTTTACAGTTCATTTTAAATCACAATAGTGTAGCATCAGCTATTGCTAAATTAAAGGCAAATTATTTTTAAAATAAAAGACAATTGATATCATGTATCATAGGTGAAAATGGCTAGAAACTAGCAACTCTTGACAGTGATAGCAGATCAAGGATTAGTAACTGATTTGCTGAACAGTAAATATAGTTTAAAAAAATACAGGAGAAAATGCAGAGATTTTTTTTTTTACATCCAAAATATAAATCTTATAAAAATTATTTTATTCCTGTTCATACAGATTATTTTTATTTTCTTAATCATGGAGAACTTCATACCCAAGCAACATTAAATGGCTCTTCAGTTTGATTATTTATTATCTGGGAATGAAATTATGGAGGAACTGTTGTTTCTTTCTTCTAGAATCTCTTACTATAGACAACCTATTTAGATGTAGAAATTCTATTTCTCTGTTTCTCTTTTATGAAGTATTTATGCTCCCTTCCCTTGCTCAAAAATATCTGTAATACTTTACTGAATGTCTGTATGGTTTTACAGTGGGGTAACATGGGATTAAACACAACTTGCCTTTTTCAGTCTGCTAGTAAAATCATCTGTTTGCCTACTCGTCAAATCATCTAACTACATCTTTTATTCTTATTAACAAAGTAACAAGCCACTGATGGTAATTCATCATTTGGAAGACTGTCAATACTGCCAAGGTAATTTTGATTTTTTGTGTGTTAAAATGTTGTGAATATTTTTATAAGAAATTGAACCTATCTATATATTTACCTTACACTTAGGAAAATTTTTTAAAGAAACAGGCAAATGAAAATGTATCTGAAAATTGAAGAATTTATTACCGTTATCTACAAAAACTCCACTATGAAACTAGCCAATAAAGAACATGAAAAATACTCAGCGCTGCTGCACTGCTATCCCAAATGCAGCACTCATCAGTTTAAATTAGGAGGCACAGATTTGCTACTGACTCATTAAACAGATTTAATATTGTTTGGGTCTCCTGAACTGGTAACTAAAGAAGGAGGCGAGGATAGGGCTGCTGAAATTGATCTAACAAGAATTTTCTGAGAATAATGCACTTTTGTCAAGCCAAGACATGGTATCCATTGAGATGACAGGCTTCATAAATAACAGAAGAGAGCTTCCATTTTCACAGCTGGGACGTTGTACTGCCATGGGTCAAAAAACCCCCAAAAGCAGTCATAGAGCCCTTAAGTGTCTCCTCAGGAATGTGAATCAGCAGAGTCAGGAACAATGTGGCCAGTCTCTGGCCAATATGATGCCCAAACGCAGATGGAAAGGCAGAGTTTGAGATGGACTTCAAAGTTTATCCTGTCTTTTCTAGCGCTGAAGAAAGCTTTTGCAGAAAATGAAGAAATACAGGAAATGGCCCAAAATAACTTTGTTATGCTGAATCTCATGGTATGAAGGGTTTGGGGCGATTTGACTGGTATCTTTTTATGGTCTGTGTTTTCTCTTTCTTTGTCTTGTTTTTTCATGTCATTTTAGCTAATATCTCTGGCATTTTAGTTATATAAGTAGAGGCATTTGTGCATGCGTATTTACATACAAGTAATGCCTATCCAGTTTTGTCCTCTGGTACAGGGTTATTCACAGGTGGTACTACTCAGGAAAATATACAGAAGTATTTTAATAACTAGCTTTCATTTTTCTGCCAGCATGAAACCACAGATAAAAACCTGTCACCTGATGGACAATACGTGCCTCGAATCATGTTTGTAGGTATGTACATTTATGTATCTTCAAGGATGTGATATCTGAATTATGCCAGTGTTCTTTGGGGACATCAGAATCATTAATTTTGCAAGAGGTAAACAGATCGCTGCCTCTGTTGCATACTTTGACCCTTGTAAACTTCCTTAAATTAGAGATGTGTTCTGGAGGGTACCTAATTTTGACCTGGGGACAAGATGCTTAAAAATCTATTAACATCTGGGCTTTTGCTCTTCGTGCTTCTTCCTAGTGCTGTTACAAGACAAAGTTCACTGAAAAAGTCAAATATCTGACTGAATGTAGATGTCTATAGTGTGGATATTACCACAGAATAAATCAATAGTCAGTGCCATCTAAGGAACGATTTATCCCATTGTAAAGCAGACTTCTGGAATGGATCAAATTAATTATGCCCCAGAGTGCCTGTTCATTTTCACTGATTGAACAGGAAGCCTAGAGTGACTAGCTCTTTGGTGGCGGCCAAAGTTCAGTGAGATGAAGCCCACACTCAGACAGAGAGCAGTGCAGTTACAGGAGTCAGTTAATTACCAAAAATCTTGTAAGGGAAACTGGAAGAAGATATGTCCATGATAACCTGTTCCCATGCTGGGAACATTAAGAATCATGAGATTTTGGTTCTGAAGTCTCTAGGTAGGTCATGCTAATATTGCTGTAGGGATGCATGACCCTCACTGTGTATGCATCCAGCCAAATTAGCTTCTCCTGATGTAAACCCAGAACTTGTAAAACAGGATATTTTCCTTTAAATATGGATGAAATGCATGTGTAACCTAGCACTTAAAAATAGCTGCATAATATAAAAATGAGCATAAGCTTTTGTTCAGGATTTCTCCAAGTAAAGAGCAGTTGGCTGGAACAGAGCGTAACGGCCTCGTAATTGCCTCATTGATGAAATCAGAAACAGAGCTGACAAAGCAGTGCCTCACAGTCACCCACAGCTGTTGTGGGAATGGAAGGCAGTGCTTAATACAATTACTTTTTCAGACCCATCTCTCACAGTACGAGCTGATATCACAGGAAGATACTCCAACCGGCTTTACACGTATGAACCACAAGACATACCATTCTGTAAGTGCCCCCTTTGTTGAGTTTGCATTTCACATTGTAAGCAGCCAGGTACCCCATCCCAATCATGTGTGCGTGAGAATCCATTAGGATCTCAAAGTAAAGAATAAATACTGTGGGTGAGCATTTGCAATAAATTATAATGGTCTAACCTGTTCCAGCAAAACAATCACACCTATTGTCCCACGGAATTTATTGGGGCTACTCAGGCAAGAAAAATTGAAAGATCGTGGGTGAGAACTTTCAGGATCGAGATCTGAGCAGTTTGCTGAAGAACAGCGAAAGTTATACTTATGCAAGTCATACTTGGACATTCAAAAGTATCCAACTGCACAATATAAATAGCCAGTGGTGGGAGGGAATCAGTAAAGAAATGCTGGTGCTTACCTCGGTATCACCTAACACACATATTTCAGGAAGGAATGTGATTTTTCAGGTTCAGCCAGTCCTCGCTCTATATCATCTATCTGACACCAGTGCAATATCTCACCACAAATATGCACATCACATCTGATTACCAGGCTTGCTGTTGAGAAATGAGGGAGTTGAAAGGGGCCTTGTCAAATCCCTTTAAGTTAAACATTCTAATGCATTAAACTTTTTACCTTCTGCTTTAGGAACAATGCCAGGATTTTCACAATAGAAAGCTCTAAAATATAATGTGTGACCATGAATTAATTTCAATGTGAACAATTTACTAAATCAAAGTAGGAAGGGGTTTTTTTAATTGTACAAATGCACTTTTAATATATTTTTACAGTTCTTATTTATTTTTCTTTCAGTAATAGAGAACATGAAGAAAGCACTACACCTCATTCAGACTGAACTGTAACCAGCAACAGTGACATTACCATAACCTTTACGAGGTGAAGCTGCACCTCTGTCTCTACTAGAGTTTTGAACTCTTACCAAGCAGTTTGGTATATCAGATTTCTTAAGAACAATCTGGAGAACAAATACAGAAAGACTATCACATCCATTTGCAAAACAAGAAGATAAATACATTAAACACTTTGAAATTAGTTATCTGAATAACTGGAAGTGATGGTTTAAGGTGCGGCAACTTTGAGCTGTATTTTATCAATCCAACTCTGACCCTATTAAGTCAGCTATGACTTCTGACCAGGAATTATAAACAATCTTTTGGATCTCTATTTGCAATTTATTACATAAGTGAATAGCTGCATGTTGGCTCTCCATTTTAATTTTTATTGCAAGAAGCTTGTTAGTTGTTAGTTTACCTCTGCTTTATACACTTATTTCTTGTTAAAAGAAAATAAACTTTGGTGTCAAATCAGACAAGAAAGCTCTCCTGATAGATTTTGGAATAGCTTATACAGAAAAAAAACAGTGATCTGGGCTTAGCTTTCCCCTGTGTAATCCTTTAACTATTGTTCCGATAGCTGAAAACAGGACAGACATTCCAGACTGAGCATGTGGTCTCAGTGAGGTGATAACCATCAAAGAGCAACTACAGGTTTTGCTATGATGAAGATACAGTGAAGCAAGAGAGATGGAAGGAAATAGTCCCAGAACCCCACTCTTAAGTGAGGATAAGTGATGCTTGTAAAGTCTCATATAGGAAAAATGAGGAGGCTTTTCCTAGCTCTTTTCATTTAAACGGTGCACTTGAGTCATGGGAAACCCATCCCAGGTCGTTCCCTCTTTCTGTAGCATTCCACCATGAAGGTGGCAGCTTATTGAGAGAATCTGTAAATACAAGGCCTTTGGAAAATTTCCCTAGGATCACTGTATGCAAGGGTGAACACTTGTTTGAGTAAAAAGCTGAAGTAGTTTATTATCCCAGCAATGTAATTTTTTGTTAGAGCAAAATAGTCATCAATTCACCTGCAGCAGGACCGTGTATATTGTGTGACATGCAAAACACCAGCGTTATTTGTGCTACCTACCATTTCCTATGGTGCTGCCTGAATACACACATAAAAGATGAAGGAAGGACTTCTGCAGCACAGCCTTGCTAATTTATAATACCTAGGAGTTATTTGTCATAAATTAGTTATATTGCACCTATCTATGTCTCCAGAATTACTTAAAATTTGGATATAAGTGTATATTCCAACAGAGTGGTGATAAATTACCTGTACACGAAGAGGAAAAATTATTGTATGAGTCATTAATAATAACAATATCTTAATAATCAGTTAAATGATTTTTTTAACCTATAGGGAAAATGCTAGAAGTAAAATTAAACTGGAAATCACATTTCTTCGATTTGTGTTTAGCTCTACTCATTTTTGTCTTTATCTATTCCAGATTTGGCAACATTTCCCAGTCTGTAGGCATTGCTCTTGCAGGCATGCCAGTGATGTTCAGGAGAAAGGGATGTGAGCTAGCTGCCAGAGATGACACAGGGTAGCCGTGACAGCCACTCAGCCTCCTTTTCTCCAGGCTAAACAACCCAGTACCCCCAGCTGCTCCTCATGACACTCGTGCTCCATATCCTTCACCAGTTTCGTTGCCCTTCTCTGGACACGCATCTGCCCTGCTGGCCTTCCTCTCAATTCTCACCAATAAATACTCAACCCTATCATCAACATCATCAAGCTCTAGACAATCAAAAAACTCCCCAAAAAATAGGGCTGCCCCACCACCTCTCCTTCCTTGCCTGTCCCTTTTGAAGAGCTTATAGCCATGCATTGCAGCACTCCAGTTATGCAAGTCCTCCCACCATGTTTCCATGGTGGCAACCTACACCACAGTTTCCAGCTTCACAGTCTTCCAGCTCTTTCTATTTGTTGCCCATGCTGCGTGTGTTGTGTAGACACACCTCAGTTGGGCTATTGATCCTGCCACATTTTTAGGGGAGAAGCCCTGATCCCTACATGACCATTCTCAGGCACTCCCATATTTTCTAAGACATCAATAACCCTTGTGTCTTTGCTGCTGTATGGATCTCCATCCCCTATCTCCACTGAGACCAAAGGACCTCTCTAGCACACCATCCCTCAAGTATTTGTGTGCCACTACCAGGCTTATCTCTAGCGAACATGGTTTTATCCTCTTCAAATCTAATTTAAAATTCTTTATTCCTTTAGTGGATTCACTCATAAGCAAAGAGATGTCTGGAATCCCAAAAGATTTGTGATACAGAACCACAGTCCAGAACTTGCTTGGGCTCAGGAAAGCTAAACTCCATAGTCTGTCTTACCTCAGTGCTGCAAGAGAAAATAAATTGTAGAATTACCACTTATTTGGATTGTGGAAGAAACAAGCAATGAAACGTCTGGGCCTAGAAGGCTACTGTTGTTTTGCTAATTTTTGACATTTAATATTGAGTCAGCAGACAGGAAATAAACTGTGTGAATTAAATAAAATAAATAACCAAATTTTCAGAATAATACATTGATTACCTACTTCATTGTTGAACAAAAGTTAGTCTTTAGATCTACACTGCAATGCATGTTATTTTAACACTTGAAGAAAATCTGGATGAATTTCCAAAGGTATTATTGATACTGATTACACCTATAATCTAGAACAATATTATCTAATGTTTGTAACAGTTTTAACAAACCACTCATTCAAGCAGAGAGCAGCCACTTTCCAGATGTCACAGGCACATAAGTACCACTGTGTCAGATGAAATCTCTTTGGTGAGTGGCTAAAGGGGATTTCACTCTCTTCTTTCCTTTCTAAAATCCCTGTAGGTAGCTGGCTGAAATCTGTTCTCAGCCTTCCAAAATGAGACTAAATTTTTGTGATGTAGATCCAGTCCTTTTGGTGGAGCTAGATATTCAGGTAAAAAAAAACCCTGTATGTTGCACACGTACTTTTTATTCACAGCTTCATTCAACAATCATCCTTAATTTTAGAGCTGTGACTGTATTTCTGTCTTCTCCTCTTTGAAGACTGTTTTGCCAGGTAATATTTCTCCTGATGGAACAGACACTCAGATCTCAGATTAAAGTCCCATTGCTCCAGGAGAAGATAATAAGACTGTAACCTGTGCAGTAACCTGTGCAATAACCTGTGCAATTCTTTCTCCTTTTTTCCTCTGAAATAAACAGCATAACAAATGGCATGATACACTAGTCTCCCTTTTCTTCCTTTTCTGTCTGCTCGGATGCCACACAGATTTATTCACAATATTAGTGGGCAGAGTTTTATTCATATTCTTTACTTCTCTTTTTCTTAAGAGAGTTGGAAACTGTTCCTTTTGTTCCTTGGTTATCTGGAACTAAACCAACTGGGTTTGTTTAACCTCCATTGTTTGTGTTAGAGCTGAAGGAGGAGAAAACAAGACGGAAAATGTTCTGTGAGAGCAGAAGTTGTTTTACACTGAATAAATTCAGTCACAGTATAAGGACCAATAGCTGAGAAAACCTACCTATGTAGACTGTGTGCTTTTACAGAATTCATATCCTGTATGCTATATGTTGGATGTTAATATCAACATGAGTGTAATATAGCATCACCTGTGGATGTACATGTTTTACACAAAAAGACTTCTCTGAGTTCTGCCTTCACTATGAACACCACACATTCTGGGAAACAAACTTTATTGCCACTTGTTCACATATCCGTGTCTATTTTACTGTCTGAACTTATCTGTTGTAATCAGACCAAGAGTAGTCAAACAAACGTGGACTTAACGTCAGTGAGGTGAGGCACAGGAATCTGAGAACTGACAGAACAGGATCCTCCCCTATGTATCCGTCTCAGAGCAGAAAGGCGTTGCCTTTTCCAGACAGATGGCTGATCTATTGGTCTGCAGAGCTAAAACATTTTCCCGTGTGCAAATATTTGCGCTTGACCAGAACAAAAGGAAAGGCACCATACCTTTGTGTACCATGGAGGTGAGAAACTGTGGGACACCTCAGCACTTAAAATGCAAAAGTGACTTGATCCTGCAGAATAAGTCTGATATAATTTGGCTTGTTTCATGTACTACACGTGTTCTTGCCAAAAGCTGACACAGAGAAATTTCCAAATGCTGAGGTGTCCTCCACAGGGTCAGCCAAGTCATTGATCTGCTTCCTTTTATTTGTTCCTTTGTTCAAACGGATGTACAGATCTACAGTATGATTCAGGTGGAAATAAATAGTCTGTGGCAATTAAAAAGCCCAAAACCACCAATCAGAAGGGGAGGAATATTTACTTTTTCATCAGAAAATCTACAGAATTTGCACTCTATATAGTTATTACCTTTCTTTGATGTTCAAGGTTCTCATGTTCATCACTTGCCATCTTTGGTTGTTACCTTGTGTTGTAAAGTCACTGACACACTAGTCAGTAAAAGTGATTCTTTCAGCAGACTGTTTTCACTGAAGAAGTATCGGATATTTTCTATCTCTTCAGAATAAGAAAAGACACACAAAAACAACAGCTTCTCCTATCATTGTATAATACCAAAGAACCCAAATATAGCAGAGTGTATGCTGTCATACTGCATTTTGACATTTCCCAATAATTTCAACTACAGCTGTTCTTAAGTAGACATTTATCAAGTCACCCTTTGTACATGTCTGACTTGTGAGAAAAAATACCATATGCAATAATTTTTCAAGGTCATAACATTCATGTGAGAACACTCCTCATGGGGTGTTTTGGTGCTTATACTTGGTCATTGCTTCAGGAAAGAGCCTAAAAGTACTTTAAAAAGATCTACTGTGTCTTCTGTTACCTTTCTGAAGTATCACTTTGCAAACCCTGGCTACATGTCCTCAAGTGAGTGTTTGTAAAAGGTTGGCACACATGAACCCCCTCTGTTATTTAGGGTTCAGCCAGCTGCAGAGAAACAAGTTCACAGATATATACAAACCACTGGCTTCATTGCTTATGTTCACATACAGGGAAGAGGACAGGGACTGCAGGGAGAAGAAGTTACACCCTAAGGTGAGAATTATTGTACAGGA